AAAGATTAAAATAAAGTTAATAGAATATAAAAAAAAAAAAGGTTTTTTTTTAGTGGAAGATATACATGGCAAAACACAAATTGATAAAAGTTGGATTTCCGTGCAAAATGTTTTTATTTTTAATTATTTTTAATTAGTTTTTGAGTTCAGTTTTGGTCGACTTTTTGTCGTTTGCTTTTTACTTTTTATTTTTTATTTTTCAATTAATTAATTGATTATATATATAACACTAACTTCGTGTGTAGGAATATTCGTTTCACATTCAACAATTTGGACTTTTTTTTTTCTTTAGAAAATTAGGACAATTTTTTTAAATTTATTTTTTAAAAATAAATAAATCGTTTAAAAAACTAACGTAGAAATCACATAGATATATGGTTAAAAAAAAGACGCGTAGTCCATGTTTCGTTTTCTTTTTTTAATTCAACAAAATTCGAACATTTGACCTATTAGTCTAGAGAGAACCAGAACCTCTAATCCTTTGGTCATATATATATATATACCAATTTGAACATATTTGAGTTCAACAGGGTGGGAGAACTAGAACCTCTAATCTTTTGGTCATATATATATATATATATATATATATATACCAATTTAAACATATTTGAGTTCAACGAGATAGGGGTAGGAAAACTGGAACCTCTAAATATATATATATATATATATATATATATATAAAAGACCAAAGGATTAGAGGTTCTAGTTCTCCCACCTCGTTGAACTCAAATATGTTTAAATTGGTGTATATATATATTAACGAGTTGAAATATGTTCAAATCGGTCAAATATGTTCGGTTGACATCTTTTGTATTTATTATTTTTGAAGAAAAATCCTAAAGTTTTCTAAATTATTTATAAAAATATTTATTTGTTTTAGACCAATTTGAACCTAACTCGTATATATTCTAGATGAAGAAATCAAAAGTTTGAATTATGTTGAGCTCGAGCAAAAATAGACGTAGTGTTGGGGCATTTTGGGCTTTTCAAGGCAATATTGGACTCTCAAATAAGCTACAAGTTTGAGGCTAAGAGCTAAAAACTAAAGCCCAGCCCATCACAATGATTGCGAAGTGAAAGACGTTTGAAAGTTACAACGCTCTTTGGTAGTAATCATTCGTGTGCATCCAAGTGCTCCTTGGCTCGTTAGTCCTCTCTTCCATGGCGTTGTAATAACTTATCTACTTGAAAAATCTGAGATTTTTCGACGTTATCGTTTTTCTTAAACTCATCATTTTCGGTGTTGTTATTACACATTCTGAAACCATACTAAACTCGTTGAGCTCGCCCTCATCTTCCCAGAACAACGGTTGTGTTAATCCTCTATATGTTTGCTCGTCTGTCGTTTGCTAGATCGAAGGTCTCTATTTCACCGACGTTTATGTTCGACAAGACAAATCCATTCGTCTTCCATCATTTTCTCTCGACATTTCGTGTTTCCTTTTCTTACAAATGAGGTATGAGGGTTTGCTGAAGTATAAGACTTCAGGTATGGTCGTGGGTTCATTGGAGGCGCGAGTTTTGATATATATTAAAGCACGACAATGTAAAATCTGGGCAAGGACGAAAACAAAAAATATAATCATTGTTCCCCGTCTCGTTTAGCTAACAAGCAGAAAAAATTTCCGCTCTCCTCCTATTCCCAGTTTAAATGAAGATTTCATGTCTTATTCAAACGTCTCTATAAATAATAAAAAATTTCCCTCCCTCTCACCTATTCCTCATTTAAACGAGGATTTCGTGTCTTATTCAGACGTCTCTGTTAAACGTATAATATCATACATATAAAAATACACGAACAAAAACATAAAAAAGAACCGAACAAAACAAGATTCTTAAACTTCATTTTCAACACCAAAACAAACATAAAGATGATAAAACAACAGATTATTTCGTTTTTTAAAAACAATAGTCAATAGCAATAAAACTGCTTTTCTTGTTACTAATACCGCTTATTTTGTTCTTGAAAGACGGGTTTATATATTCTATCGCTAAAAATTAATAGTAATTAAATTAAAATATTTTGTCACTAAAAAAAATCGTTAATTGAACTTCGAGTTTGATATGAACAATGATATGAACCAAGAGACATCAATCATACAGTATACTTCAATGAAGATGCGGAAAAAAATGTTGTTGAAATTATTAAAAGATTTTTTTAATTCATACCACATTGAAGAAAATAAAGTTTCATTACTATCAGTAATTTTGTGTGGATTACCATCTAGTATATTTTAAGACTTTTTATTTATTTAGGTTACATTTACATAATGATTAATTATGGTCATAAAATATGAATGTTACTGCTCTTAGAATGTCTTTAATACTTTGATTTTGAAGCTATATAAAGTTATGTATGTTGTATTTATAAGTAGACTTGGAAAATGTAGTAAAAGAACCATTTGTGCGTTCCTCTAGCCAATGACTAAGTTTCTTTGCAATTCTATGTAGTTTAGGTTGCATGTAGAATCATTGAAGCTCGACGTGATCAATCTTGCTTGTGGAGTGATTCGAATCTCAAATAAATGTTCTTGCCTTTAGATATTCGATTAATAATGTAATCAAAATCTTACTCCCCTTGCAGTGATTTCCATATCAGAGTTACTCCACCAGACATTGAGTGAATTATTTTAATATTGCGATTAAAGAAGACTCGACTCGAACCCCAAAACTAAGTTACATACGAGTGTTCGATCTCAAAATAATTAATTAATATTTTAATAATAATAAATTGAGTTGAATCCACCATTTCAACAGCTTTTAAATCACTCTATTTAAAATTAAAAAAAGAAAAAATATAGGCAAAACAAGTTGGGCCAGGTGACGTGGGCCTGATTATTACTCGTCCAATCCATATATGACAAGTGTATAGCTGCAGAAACGACACGTGGTGAACCTTTGTCCTTTTCTTTGAAAAAATAATTATAATATATATATATATAAACTTGTTTAATATTTCTTTTTTTTTTTTGTAATCCTACGAATTTTTAACGAATTTTGATGGTTTATTGTCATATAAAATTGAATGATATTTTTTTTTCGTAAAAATATTATTTCTAAAACAATAATATTTTGCAGGATTTTTTTTTAAATTTAATTTTTGAAGTAACTTATTCAATATTAGAAGAAAAAAAATATTGAAGTCTCGTTTTTATGAATATGTGGATAAATTTTTTTTAAAAATATTATAAAATATAAAAATTAATAAATAAACACGCTAAAATATTTATTATTAATGTGTGAGCAAACTTTGAAGAGAGAGAAGATAAAGAGGAAGTCTAGAAATTTCTCCATAAATGCAGTAGTGAATTGAAGTCGGTCGGATTGAGTTATGAATTTGAGTTTAATTAAATTCAAATGTATTTTTTTAAATTAATTAAATTAAATGGAATTGACCTAAATCTATTATTAATTTTAGAATATACCAAGATCATATATATATATATATATCTATATTATTTAATTTTATAATTATATATTTTTCCACTATTTTTAAAAATAAATTTAAATTATTTTAAATATATATTGAAATTAAGTAGTAAAAATTAATGTTTGAAAATAAATAAATGATTTTCTACGAAATAATTTTAAAAAAACAAAATTTGGAATAAATGAGTCGAATAATTTGAACCCACCCAACCCCGAAAAATTCAATAATTGAATTTGGTTTAAAAAATATTTTTGTTGGATGATGAAAGTTACACGTACCAATTTAGATAAGTTTATAATAAAAGAATACTCTCTCCATTGGTGTGAGGACTTTTGGGGAACTATAGAGCAAAGTCACGAGAGCTTATGCTCAAAGTGGACAATATCATACCATTGTGGAGAGTCGTGTTCATCTAACAATTTCGACCCTAGTCGTCTCAACTACGAACACCCTAACCTTAACAAATACGCTAATTTATGAAAGAACGAGTTCCATATTAAACCATATTTTGAAATGGCAATATTAATATATATTTTCTTTTTTTTTTTGGAAGATTCATGAAACATTTGGTGGCATAATGAGAGTTGAAACCAGAAATAAATATCTGTGAATATCAATGGGCCGATGGGATAGTTTCATAAGGTAGCACAAAACAATGGGCTAACGTGGCTTCTTTAATACCCACTCCAAGAAACTTCTAGCACCAAATGGCATTTAACCCACTCAATTGGTAACGATTGTTTGCCTTTTTCCGCAAGAAAATTCCATGAATTCCCATGAATCCAACGCCCTATATATATACTTGGAATTACTCTGTTTTCTGCACCGCCAAGCCAGGTGAAACAAGAACAAAGAACAACAAAAACCTTTAATCTCCTTATTTCCTCCCTCGAAAATGGGGTTGAAGTGGATTCTGAATTCCGCATTCACTCAAGTTCTAGGGCTTACAGAGAAGCAACAACACAATCAGAACGAGGCGGGAGAAGGAACCAAGAACGTGGAGCAAGTGAAGGAGTCGGAAGATTGTTTTTATGGAGGTTTGAATTTTGAAAGTGGGTTTCAAATGCCTCTCCATTATCCCAGGTACACGAAGGCGGATTATGAGAAAATGGAAGACGGTAAATTGGATTTGCTTCTGAAACAATATGGACTCCGTTTTGAAGGTACCCTTGAGGAGAAAAGGGCATTCGCTATTGGCACGTTCTTGTGGCCTGACCAACTTTGAGTTTGCCCACCAGGTGTTTGATGAAAGTCCCCAATGAAAAAATTAGCTAACTTTTGATGTTTGCTGTTTGTATAGCTACTTTATGGATGTGATGTTAGTTTAAGATGCAGAGATATTAGTAGCTGTGTCTTTGTTTGGCTGTATGTACTGATCTTGGTGGGATTTTAGTGCATCTTGTAAAAAACTAGTTACATATAATGGTATATTAATCACCCTTTTCTACTGAGTCCATGATTTTTCTTTGCAAAACAAGTATAATCTAGTAAAAGAAACAGGGAGAATTTGGTGTGTTCTTCAAGAAAACAAGGAAGAGAAGCTATGAATGTAGTGTCCATTCATAGTCTCTCACATAATTGTACAACATCTCTGACTGTTGTTATTATCTTGGCTGGGTTCCTCAGGGGCTGGATTACCAGGTGGCCCGCCCGGCCCTATCATTGGCCATGGGACAGGCTGCGGCTGTGGCTGTGGCAGCATGAACTGCCAAGGGTATGGCTGCGGCGGCAGCGGTGGTTGTTGGGGGTAAGCTGTGTCAAACCAGCGAGATTGTTCTTGGGAATTCTGATAAGGATGATGAATGGGATCATCTCCATAAGGGTAATATCTTCTATCTCCAGCTTCACCATCAAATCTTATACTTTTAACCTCTGCATGTTTGCCTGACCTTTCAATCACTTTCAGGAATGTTCTTGGATTCACTCTTCCACAGATTCTGACTGACCCATCATCTGAATCCATTGTGATGGTGTAAATACCTGGGAATCAAGAACAATGAAGAACAATGAAGAACAATGAAGAACATGAAGAACAATGAGGTAAAGAGAGAAACCATAGATGTTCTGTAGAATCTCTTGGACTTTTGCTGTGCATGCTTCACATTGAATACTTGCACTAAGAACACAACTCTGCAACAAAGTGAAAATGTTTAGGTTTAGAAGAACATGAAAAGCAAAGAAAAGGGTGTCTGTATATGGAGTGAACCATTTCTGCTATGGAATGATCCATTGAAGCTGATCAATGGAGATTGTTGAAGGGTTATGGGGAATAAAGAGAGGGCTGTGTACTCTGTTTATCTTCCTTAAGTTGACCTTTAGCTTCAATTTGTCCTGATTTTTTTCTCTTTCAAATATTCTCATTTGGAAACTCAAATAGAAAGATCCCGTGATTGATTGATTATGTAATTATTAGAGATGTCAGATCAGATGGGATTTTTTTCTCTCATTTTCTTCCTTTTTGAAAAAAAAAAACATTAAAAAATTAACATTTTGTAGGCACGGTCAGATCGTCGTCGATAGCAATAGTTGAGTGACTGACAAAGTTATAATGTCGAGTTAAGTTAGAGTAGTATCACATCTCTCGATTGAGATGGATATATATTTATACATTTGCTGGATATATATTTATACATTTGCTCATTATCCTATGGTCATTATCTTTACGTAGCATGACAACATGACTTCGAGTTAGGGTAGTAAATAGAGGAAGGATACATGACTTGACTTGTTTAATACCTAGCTTGATAAGTCAATGACCCATCCTCCTTGATTGAGCTCTCAAAGATCTCACCAGAGATGTAATAGTCCAAGCCTACTACTTGTAGATATTGTCCACTTTAGCCCGTTACATATCGTCATTAGTCTTACAGTTTTTTAAATGTGTCTCCTGTAAAGAGGATCTAGCCCTACTCCGATCAGAGCCATTCACCTTTTGTAACAACCCAAGCATATCGTTAATAGTATTGTCCGATTTGATCTGTTACATATCGACTTCAGTCTCACGGTTTTAAAAACATGTGTGCTAGGGAGAGGTTTTCATACTCTTATAAAGAATGTTTTGTTCTCCTCTTCAATTGACGTGAGATCTCACAATCCACCTCCCTTGGGGGCCAACGTCCTTACTGACGCATCGGCTGGTGTCTAGCTCTGATATCATTTGTAATAGTTTAAATTCATCGCTAGCAAATATTGTTCGTTTTAGCCCGTTATGTATTATGCCTCATGGATTTATAACGTGTCTACTATGGAGAGGTTCCACGTTTCTATAAGAAACGCTTCATTCTTTTCTCCAATCGATGCGAGATCTTACAAGAGTGTAATTTGTTGTTTTCCTCTTATGTCTAAATCACTATTAGACCTGCTTTGGTTTGGAACTTTTGAGATGTATAAATCAAAACTGAAACTAATAATTCTATCCATTAAACCCTTTAATGATTTATAGCTATTTCCACTCGTTTCCTCAAAATTATATAAATAAAATTATTTTCTCCAAATGTTTTAAATTGATATAATTATTTTTTTTTCATCTAAAAAAAAAAAAAAAAAAAAGCCTATTTTCTTAAATTTCTCCCTTACATTTAGGCGAAATTAAAGAAATAATCTTAATAATATAATAACAGATAATAAATGCAACATTATTATAGTCCCATGATAATTAATATTCTTCTTATCATCTAATTATATGCCTTTTCGTACACAAACTTTTTTTTTTAATAATTATTATTAATTTTATCTTGTACTTAAAAAAACAAGATATTTTAGGGTTAAATTTGAACATTTTTTATAACTTGAATTTCAATACCATTAAAGCTGACAATTTTTTTATTTAATTTAATTTTAGAATAGTAAAATAATCATAACTTTTAATTCATTAAAATATATACTCTCTTAAAATTTGAATTTATAATTATATTATTAAATTTGTATAGAATTTTATAAGATTATTTATAGTTAAAATGAGTGATTGAAATTGAATATTTGGAGTATAAAATTAAATAACTACATATTTTATTAACGGTGCATTAAATGATGAATGGTTTTTGGACCCCACAAAAACCCCAACATAATAACGTCCAAAACAAATCTTGTCTATTCGATTCAAACATTAAATTATAAAACACTCATAATTTTCTTTTTAAATTCTTTAAAAAAAATACAATATTTATTTATAATTGCTTTACAATCAACCTATCAGTAGCAAACACGTGTTTTAGTTTTTTTTTTTTAAAAAAAAAACAGATAAAATTCCCCCTTTCACCCTCCCACTCGATTCAGTCGATCTTAGCCAAAAAGATATTTCCAGATTCAAGCTCAAATTCATGAGATCAACAACTGAAATTCATAAGCAGCAGAAACAAGAAGCACATAGTGATTCCATCTACACACTACCAGTAATCGATCCAAAGAAAGGGGAAAAAAAAAGAGAGTACAAATGACATTCAGATCGGCGTGAAAACGGGGGGAATCGAGTAGAAAAGCGGTATAGTAATAACCGTGTGATTAATCGGCGTCGAGGTGGTGGTCGGGGTGGCCGGCGACATAGTTGAGGAGGCCTTCGGCGGCTTTATCGGGCAGAGGAAGGGAGGTGTTGGTGAAGAGGAGGACGGCGAGGAGGAAGAGGGCGGTGGAGAGGAGGAGAGGCCAGAAGAAGGCGAGGAGGGAGAGGAATTTGGGGGCGAGGAGGAGGAGGGAGAAGAGAATTAGGGATAGGATTAGGGCTGCTACAATGTGGAATCTGAACTTCGCTACTTTCCTGGGAATCTCCATGGATCAAAATCAATGAACACAATGAACACGATGAACACCAACTCGATTTTTGCTTCTAATTCCGTTTTTCCTGATTCCTGATCAATTCTCTTTGTCTCTCTGCACCGATTCTCTGAACCTCACCCTCAAATCGCGTTTTCTTCTGTCTTCTTTGAAATTGGGAAAAAAAAAATGGGCAACTCTCTCTCTCTTTTTTTCTTTAGTCCTTTATAAACTCATAATTTACAACAACGCCCCTTTTCTTTCCCCTGCCCACTTTACTCAAACGGTGGGTCTGGTTTTTGAACTTAATTCAAGCCAGAGGGAAGGTCGAGCCAAATGACTTGACCTGGTGTAGAGGCAAGTCAGATGTGTTGCAAACGATTGAACATACACGCGCAGGCAGTATGTGGTTGAATGCTAAGGTCCGACGAAACCATAAAGCCGAGGTGAAAAATATATATAAATTTTTTAAAATTTTGAATTTACATAAAGTTCATCGACGAAGAGATAAGAATTAAGCTTATACTTTAATTAATGTTATAATGTCGTATCTCTCAAACAAATTACGGATATATTCAATATTTTACTATAATCTACCGTTTTTTAGGTTAGGAATTTATTAGACATATAATTAAATATTTATATAATTTATTAAATATTTTTTAAAAATTCAATCTAAAAAATGAATTATCTAAATATTTTTTAAGATTTATTTTGAAAACTCGTTGAAGGAAGAATAAGGACCATTCTTCGACGGTGCATGATTAAAAAGAATATTAAAAAGTTTTACGCTACAAGGGATCCTTCAATATTCTTTTCTTTTCTTTTTCCTTAAAACCATCATGGAAGATTTTTCATTAAAACAAAAACGAATAAATAAAATTATGACTCGTGAGTAAAGAAAATATACATGAATGAACCCGAGATCATGTCTAAATGAGACCGATCCTAAAAATTGAAAGTTACTATCTATAACAATAAACCAGATGTGACCTAGTAGACCTTCAGCTCATGCACCAACCCGCTAGTGACCCACATGTCGACCCAAGCTATAACCCCACTTCCCTCGCGCCTCTCTCTCACGTGCGGTGCATGTGCCCGAGCCGCCTCTAATTGTTGGACGTCATCTTACCATTTTAGCCGTTCTTGAGTCATTTTTGACATATTTAAGAGTGTTTAAGGCTAGTATACTTGATGCCTTACGAAGTTGTAGCACTCCACAGATAGAGTTGAATTTTAAGGAGCAAGATCAAGCTAACACTAGGGATATTTAAGCGACTCTGACTTAGGCCAACCAAGTAAGTAAACTTACTATTAGATCACTTTCGAGTTTAGTTGGATGACTTGAGTGATGTATGAATGACACATGCTCTATATCCAATTTATGTGTCATTTTCTGATGTTATAATATGTTTTAATATTATTATGCATGTACTTCCAGCATGTTATGATATCATGTTCAGTTATGAGACATCGAACAATGAAAGAAATGTCATATATATGAATGCATATCTCGTAGAGGAGTTATGTCATGAAAAGAATGGAAGTATGATGTGCATCATGTATATTAGATGTCACAAACATGAGATAATTTCTCAATATGTTTGGTACAAACACGTACTCCATGATACAATACACGCTCCATTCTTTCTATTAGTTTTCAACAAGGTGAGCGTGTAAATAATATAAGGTAATAATTATTTATTATTATTATTATTATTATTATTTTGTATTATGCTTGTAATTATGTAATGTTAAAGTCAACCTAAATAGTACCTCCAATTTACCAAGAGGCGTGAAAAATTTAAATTCAAATCCAAGATAAGATTTTTTTTTTATATAAAAAAAAAATCAAATAATTAAAAAAAAAGTGAGGAGTGAAAAATGGAATGATGGAAATCCTATCGTCCTTGCAAATGGAATTGTCGGCTGTTTTTTTTTATTGGTTAAATTACTATTTTAATTTTTATATTTTTAAAGATTTATTTTGTTTATTTTTTTTATCACTATAAGTTTTCTCTTATGAAAATATGAAAAATCATATTTATGATATACATTTTTTAAATACGAATATTTTTTAAACGTGTTACTAATAATAAAGATTTTTTTTTTGAAGTTTTAAAAAAAGTTTAAATTTCTTTTAAAAATTATAAGAATATTAATGAAATTTTTAAAAATTTAAAGGGTATTTTTGAAACACCTTCAAAAATTGAAATATAATCTTAAAATTAATTTGAAAGTTTAAAAATATTTTAGAAAAAAAATTTATTAATGGTATTTTTGAATTTTTTTCGAAAATTTAAAGTATATTTAAGACATTCGAAAATTTATGAATATTTTTTTCAAAAATATTTTTGTTAATTTAACTTTTAATTTATTATTATTATTATTTAGTTTAAGGTACCTAAACCCTATTTCCAAATTGGAATATTGGAAAATAATTATTTATAAATTTTAATTTAAAAATATTTTTTAAAATATTTTGTTTGTTTGTTCTGTTGGTGGGTTTTAACCAACATCACAACCTTATTCTAAAACTAAATCATTTCATTTTTTTTCGAAGCTCAAAGCATTAGACCAAACTTATGAATCCAAATAATAATAATAATAATAATAAAACGTTAAAAATGTTTTTGAGGATTTAGTATTAAATTTGATTATTATATTACGTGGAGTACCATATATGTAATTATTATGTCCGACATTTTTATCTAAATTAATAAAAAAAAAAAATTCTAAATTTCATATGGTTAAGAAAATATTCTTAAATTTTTAAATATTTTTTATAAGTAAATACCCTTTAATTTTAAAAAAATAAATCATAAATACTCTTATAATTAGTATTATACAGAAATATTTTATTTAAAAAATATTCCTTAATTTCAAAAAGTTTAAAAAATAACTTTTAATTATAAAAAATTTCAGTAATTCCTAAAACTTTTTTGAAAATTTCAGTAATACCTAAAACTTTTTTGAAATCTTAAAAAAAAAAAAAAAATAATAATAATAATATTCATGTTTAAAAATTATTTATGAATTTTTAAAAAGCTATTAATATTAATATTTAGGACTAAAAAAAACATAAACAATTAAAGTTACAATATATATATATATATATATATATTTTTTTTAATCCTGAAAAAAAAGGAATTTGTTTTTTCTTTTAAATAACAAATAAAACAAAAACGATTTCCGAAAGAATCGATCAAATTCAGCCCTAATTTCCCGACGACGAATCGCCGTCATCGATTTCGATGCAAATGAGGAAGTTTCATCTAAATATAGCTTTGCAATTCAAGATGAAAGCACCATAGAAACGTACCTTCCACCGAAAATCGCTGGGATTTGCACCTATAAATCACATTCATTCCATCTCCATTTCATCAGGCAGCAATTTCCAAAGCGAAGGCGTTTCTCGGTGATCCTTCTCGAGTTCTTCACCGGATACCGCCACACAAATCCATAACCGAAAACAAAAAACAAATCTCAAAATCGCAATGGAAATGAAGAAGATCACCTGCGCCGTCCTCTTCGCTGCCGCAACCGTCACCGCCGCCGTGGCTCAGAACGAGGCGTCGGCTCCTGCACCTGGACCAACCAGCGCCGCCACTGTCGGCCTTCCAGCAATCGGCTCTCTCATCGGCGCTTCGTTGCTCTCCGTTGCTGCCTACTACTTGCAATGATGGATGGGATGATGTGCAAAACAAAGAGTTATATAACGATGGTGACAACGGTTTAATAGATCTCTAAATTTTTTTTTGTTCGAATGCCATCGATATCAATTCTTATTGAGACATAAATGAAGAAGAGCCATTTTTTTTTATTTGAAGCATATCCCATTACGAGATTATATATTTATAATGCAAACGTAAAAATAGAAACTAATCAATGATTTAGCTTTTGACTAAAAGTTCTAAAAAAACATTTTTCATACAATATTCGAGTTAGCATCAGTTTCATGTCTGCTTGACACCTAAATCCTAGAAGATTTAATATTCGTGTCTGCTTGACATCCAAATTTGTAGTGGAAGGTGGATTATCGAGATTATGTGTGTAAGCTAGCTGAGACAACTATCGATGTTAAAAAGGTTTGAAATGAAACTTATTTACTCAAATCCCATATGAATATGTATAAAGAGTTAAAGAGTAGCGTGGTATTGAATTGTTTTCAATTTACTTAATTGACTGAAAATAAATGGAAAGTTACAATCCCCACCCGTGCACCCACACATCTTCATCTTTTTAACTGGAAGATCAAGAGTTAATGATTGATAGACTATCTGGACACATACTTATGAAATGGTTCATGCATGTAATTGTTAAGGATTCAGGCATTTATATGAAATGGTTCATGCATACTTGTGAAATGGTTCATGCATGTAGTCCATTTCTATTCATTTCTATGATCATAGAGATACCCCTGGACTATTCTACAAAGCCCAGATTTCTCCTTAACCACTCGGATATACAAAACCCAGATTTCAACTTAACCACTCGGATACACCTGGGTCATTAGATAGGAATCCGAAAATGGTATAAACAAATAGTTTTAGAGTAAGCATTACACAATCTCCAAGATCATTACACAATTTCCAAAATTTTTAAGAGTTGAGTCGTTCATTACTTAAAATTGTATTTCATACCTACAATTATATATTGTGGGGGACTCTAACAGGGTCGTTCAATGGGTAATATTTCTCTCTTTCTTTGGGTAATATTTCTCTCTTTCTTCTGTGGGGCAATGGGTAATATTTCTCTCTTTCTTCTGTGGGGGACTCTAACAGGGTCGTTCAATGGGTAATATTTCTCTCTTTCTTTCCTATTCAGGGTTCAGGGTAAGATGTTTTGTGGGTAATAAGCAATGCCTATTATACAAACCCGATTATTTCCTAATTCATGAACCATTATGTCGTTGCTAGCAAATACCACTATTTTTGATCAATCTATATTGATTGACTGCCTCCATTATGTTGTTGCTAGCAAATACCACTATTTTTTTGTTTTGGATCTTCCAAATCATTCCCGGGGAGGTTCGGACCCATTTTTTTCTGATCCTTCGATAAAAAGATTCATTCTCTTCATAAAAAATAGGAGGTAGAACCAATAAATATTTCCTTTTCGATTCATCCCTGGAGTTGAATACCTCATTCAAGAATTGTTTTTGATCCAATCCGATTCATCCCTGGAGTTGAATACCTCATTCAAGAATTGTTTTTGATCCAATCCGTAGGAATCAATAGAAAAGGCAAATCCCTTATGATACACCAGATCCGGCTCGGTTATTGATAGAGTGAATAGATCTGCCATTTCTTGAAATCTCTCTTCTGATTCAAAATCGGATTCTTTTTTATCTTCTTTATCATAGGGTTTACCTCTTAGTAATGAACGATAGGTATCTATATTCACTTTTTTTT